TGTATAATAGTTTGATGTTTTTAGATACAAGTGATTGGTTTTTCTATAATGGTTTGATGTTTTTAGATACAAGTGATTGTTTCTGTATAATGGTTTGATGTTTGTAGACGGCTTGAATGGTTAATGAAGAAAAACTTTAATATAAGTTTAACATAACAACAAATGTACAACGTTTCGACAAGGTTTTGTCATCATCGAATTCGAACCTAACCTAAAAGTAAGTAAGAAATTTTCTTTTAAGATTTATTCAACACTACGTGTTTACTAAGGAAACTAAACAAGGGACATACTTAAGAGCCTGACAAACCAACATAACACAATTATATTTAATTATACAGTTCCTTTTTATTTATTCCTTCTCTACTTTAAGGCTCAGAATTTTGTTGTTGTTCCTTTGTTATTTGTTTTTCAGGTTTAAATACATGGTTTATAAACCATTTTATCCTGTTTAATGCAAAACACTAGTCTTACTAATGAAAAATTAGTTGGATGGATATGGCAAAGTTTATTCATCAAATCGTTGAAATCTTGGATTTTTTAGTAACTTCTGATAAGTGGTAATATCAGTTTTTTTTCTTTCTAGTTGCAGTTGTTGTATCATTTTTCATCTGCTGGTGTCCCTTCCATGCTCAAAGACTAGCAGCTACTTACATCCAGGAGACACCAATGGCACAGATGCCATTTTTGGTGTTAACATACATCTCAGGTGTGATGTATTATCTCAGTGCAACTATCAACCCAATTCTCTACCAGTTGATGTCTCTGAAGTTTCGCCAGGCATTTCATGATACATTTGGAAGTTGTATGAGATGTTTAGGACCCCAGGATCTTCCCCAAATAACTTTTTCCGCCTTTGGAAACAATATGGACGGTTCCCGTCTGCCATTCATCAAAGGAATTAGCTTCAGTTGTGATAACATTGCTTCTTTTATTGGTAGAAGATGGCCGACTGCTAGTACCATCAGCGTCAGTCAGAGGGCGATGTCCACATCATCTAGTGCCCTGAACGTCAATCACAGAATAACAAACTCAAGTAACAACTTAATCGCTAATCCAAGGTCACTGTTGAATTCGAGAACCAGATTGAGATCCAATCATACACAAGATGTTTCACTCTGTGTTTCCATTGAATTAGCGAAAAAAGAAAGGCCAGCATCTCTTTCCTGTTTAAAGATTGGATATTTAGAATCATCAACCAATGAGAGTTTACCAAGAGCCAATCGACTGTCTTTACCATCACTAAGCATTTAAACGCAAAACGTAAAAATATAAGTTCAAATAGAGCATTTATTACCTCATGAAATTCATATTATATCATTCTTATTATTTTCTCGTATGATGTGTAAACTCTGGAAATTTTAAACAGAAGCCAGCTCTTAATTCAATTACTGGTCACTAACTTGTGGTGGAATAAAACAAAAATCAAATAAAATAGTGATTTGTTATTATAATATTCCAATTTGACTAATTATTTGTTGGTTTGTTTGTGGAATTTTGCACAAAGGTATTCGAGGACTATCTGTGCTAGCCATCCCTAATTTAGTAGTGATGGACTAGAGGGAAGCAACTATTCAAAACTATTCTCCACCAACTCTTGGACTACTCTTTTAACAACGAAAAATTAGGATTGACCATAACATTATAACACCCCACGGCTGCAAGAGTAAGCATGTTTGGTAATGTGATTCGAACCGCAATTCGCAGATTTCATGTCGAGTACCCTAAGTACTAGGCTTCTGACTAGTTAGAAGTCTTAATTTATCTATAGTATTCTGTCCTATCTGGTTGTTTCCCGCTAGTACAAACTTCGTGTAAAATATTTCAAAAGTGAATTTTGGGACTAATATATTAATGGTTAGTTAAAAGGTATCAAAATCATCTTACATACTGACTAAATAGCATCATCTGCATATATAAATACCTAAGGAGCTGTTATTAACCCTAAAATTGCTGATAAGATATATGTGTGGCTGCCATCAGATTTTTAAACATGCTTCTTTAAACTGATTATGCACAGAATCACTCACAAGTCAATAATTTTGATAGTTACAAGTTTAATAATAACTCATGAGTCACACAAAAAATACTAAAAAATACGATTGATATTACAACTATCCTCACAAGTTACTGTTCGAGCCCATAATATATTTTGCACTCACTTTCTTGGATCATTCATTTAGAGTGGATATTGTAATAGCTAAAAAGATACCATTACCCAAAGTGATGTAATAGTCGAACCCCCTCCCCCGATACACAGTAAACAAAGCCAGTAATTTGAAGATCAAAATAAATTATTCAGTCGCTGTCGATTATTTCATCCCCCAATGGCTCAATGGTTATGATGCTAAAATAATAGGATTTTGATACCCGTGGTAGGCAGAACACAAATAATCCATTGTGTGGCTTTGTGCTTAAAAACAGTAACTGTCGATTATATTTAAGTGTATAATGATAAATTACATAACATATAATAATAGAATATTTTTTAATCACGTTAACTTACTTTCAAGAAGCAGATGGCTAATGTTTCACTACATAACTTAATAGACCCCAATTTCTTCTACGTTTTTGTTTATTGTTCACGGAGGGGTGTTTAATTAAAAATCCTAAAATAGGAGCAGTTTCACCTTTCATGACCAGCTGGAGAATAAAATAAACAATCATTCAAAATCCAACAATGCGAGAGTAGTTAATGGGGCACTTGGGCACCCACAGGATGATGCCTCAGTGGGGGTCGCTAGGTGGGTGTAGATCAAAGGATGCTGCCTGAGAGCTACACAACTATTACATAATATGCAAGTTATGCCAACACCTGAAGGTTACATAACAGTTATGTAATAAGCACCAGAGAGTGCATTGCTAAGGTCATAGTTCCACAAAGTGGTGCTAAGAGCATGTTGCTAGAGTCATAGTTCTACGAAGTGGAACCAGAGGACGTGTTGGTAGAGGAAATAATAAAATGATGAGATCATCTAGTATGATCATGCAGACATTTTGTGAGAGAACCACCAGAGGGTTATGTATACCAATAGATATCAACATATCATCCACTTTATAGGGTCTGGAATAACCTGGTAGTTAAGGGACTTGATTTGCAATCTGAGGATTGTGAGTTCGAATCCCTGCTACTGAACATGCTCATCCTATATTGCAAACCACCCAAGTGTAAAATGCTCTTGGCTTACAATAATCACTGACTAACTCATAATTTGCTGAGAATATGGTTGAAATGAAGAAAAAAGTCAACTTTATGTAACAATCAAAGTCTTAAAATTATTAATTTAATTTAATTTGCATGATGTTGTGTTTACAATTATCAGTACTGAAATCTTTTATTACAATTACAGTTTGACTTTATAACAAAATAATTAAATCTGCTATTTTAATTTCTAGTTCTTATCAACTTTATAGTTTTCACTTACATACATAATTGCAGACATTTTACAAAGGCAGAAGGTGTTTCTATAGGTGGATAGTGCTACTAAGGGTAGTGTTTGCATTGACAGATGGTGTAACTTGGTGGATAGTTCAATATGATGATGAGTTCGTTGTAAGGTGTCTCAACATGTCATCAACATCTATATTTTATAAATTAAATTATCATTTTTTATTGATTTTATTTCTATGTATTGTGTATTACAATAGAGGAGATTAATAAGATAGTGTTACTATAAGTGGCTGGTGCTACTAAGGAAAATGTTACCATAGCTTAGGATGATCAATTAATCAATAGTATTAGCATACAAGTATCTGTCTTGAAAAAGACAGATTTCTCATGATAACATCTCTACATATCATACAATAATTTAACATACAATCTTACTGTTTCACTTTATGCCCATGTCTCACTCATATAACTTTATTTGTTAAATATATTCTTATGCTATTCCTCTATGCATATAACTATGATTTTATTGTGTATAAGAGTAAATGAGTTATTGACAAAAATTTTCATTTGATACGTGTTAACAGTTACTTTATAGTTTTTTACTTTTACAGTGTTTATATGGGTGAATGGTGTTATTATTACAAGGTCTTACTAAGGATAGTGTTACTTCAGGAAGACAGTGTAACTAAGGACAGTGTTTCTCTAGTTATGTAGGATTTTAATATATCTACTGTTTCACTTCTACAAGTAGAACTATTATTTTAAGAGACAGCTATTATAACACTGTTACATGTATGTCAGTTTTATCACACATAGTATCTTAAACTATCCATTATTTGAACAAGGCAAATAATATAGCATAGCCCTTTATACAATTATCTGCCATGTAATGTATAAAACACTGTCCTAATTCATTTGTTCTACAGTTTTACATTTCTATAACTAAGATATTATATAACATATATTCGACCTGAAAAGGAAGCTTATTTAAATATTATATTTAGCATTATAAGTTGAATGTTTCATTAAATGTTTAAAGGATGTACATAAATAGTTATGTTTAACTATTATTATTCTTACCTTTCTATAGATATTTTCACAAATATTTGTCTAGCACTTGTTTCTTGGTGAAGGGAAAATTTATGCATATATGGTTGATAAATAATATTTTTACCATTTTGAAAAACATACATTTACTACAGATAGGTCACGCTTTCACCCTACTGCTGATGCATCCCAGGTGATGGCAGGTTGAGAAAGCTTGATCCATGTGTAAGACTATGTGACATGTTCACCTAAGTTAGCATACAATTCTTGTATATTTTCTACTCAGTTACACCCTCCTACTGACCTTTATTCATTAGTCATATAGCTGTCAATGACCTCAACTTGAGAATCAACCTGTTTTATTGTCATGCAATATTTGAACACAATGAAAACAAGAACTAATATATTTCGTCTAATATATAACAACACAGAACTTTTATCATAATAATAAAGATTAGATTCTCCTACATATATATTGAGAATTTGTCAGAGAGTATGGTAAATACTGTGATGTTTCAACATTCTATCATTGAAACAAGAAGTACCATGAATAGCATAGTAGACGTTTACAATACGATAATATACTATTTCTATGATCTCACAACAAAAGATATTGTCTTCAAGAATAGACATATCTATTCTTTTATATGAAACTTAAATCAGTTTATAAAGAACATTCGTACAAATTCACATAAAAATCGTGTCACACATTCATCAATGTGATTAGATTTATCTCCAGAGACCACTGGTCAAAGACCATGCTTATTATAATTAAGTTAGTTTTATTTCTACTATATAACATAATAAAGGAACTTGAGTTTTTACAACTTAAACGTCAATGAAATTGTTATAAGATTTTCGAAATTTAGTAGAGTTCATTGTAATAATAAAAATAAAATAAAGTCATAACACATTATCACACGATTCTCCCTTAAGTTATAAGAAAAACCTATATTCTTTGATCAATCTGTGCTAAATGTACGACAACTTTCTTGAATTACAAGAACGTTCAAATGCATAGCAATAAGACTGATAATATTTCTTTACAAATCTTTCCTTACTAACCCTTTACTACAGGTTTTCAACAAGGAGAAATTACGAGGCCTTTCCCTTAATGCTCATTGGGTTGGCTGGAAATGTCTTGGTCAAAACACTATATCAGTTATCAATGTTACATCATTTACTAAGGTATTTCACTTTAGGTGCTGCATTTTCAGCTAACCCAACAAGCTCAGATAGTGGGTGAAAGGCATCGTCAAGCAGCTTTTCTAGTTTTGTACAAGATATATCATTTGGGGTTTTAAAAACGAAATTGTTACTATTGATGACTTGCTCAGCAATAAAGTTTATTCTCGAAGGAAGTTATTTCCACCAATTGATAACCTTCTAAATATGTACTTAGTGTCTAGTCCTGGTCTTGATTCTACACCAATGGCTTATTTACCTTATTATATTTACCAAACACATTGATTCAACAATATAATTTGAACTGATTATGTTGCTCCATAGATATCATATAACATAGTTTTATTTTTGACATCTAATATTATCTATCAAACATTGCCCAGTCTCTAAAAATCACCTCTTAACCAACACATTATTCACATCTCTTTACTGTTAGAAGTTTGTTTTATTAACCGAAGAGAGAGTAACCTTTTGCTGACTCGCCGTTTCGTTTGTGGGACTGGAATGCAATAAATTAAAAAAAATATACTTCATTTTACCCCCGTTCAGGTTTAATGATGAAGGGGTTTAATTCCACGAAATCGGTAGAACTCAGTGACAAGTGATAAACCAAATGATAATTTAAGCTTCA